TGGCTCACACCCATGCAGTTTCCCCTGGTCCCATGGACCCTTCATCCTTAGGGATAGGCACAGAGGGCCAGAGATAGACCTGCTAAATTGTGGACCCCTCTTGCCCAGGTTTAAAAGCCATACTCATAGTAGTTAAAAATTTTAAATGCCACTGCCTTGGAGCATCTGTTCAGAGTAAAAAAATATAATAGAGATTTTTGGGGAAAAAAAGGAATTAAAAAAAAATCATAAGTAGAATAAAATAATCAACTCTAGACAAATAAACATGTAATTATGAAAGACTAAAAGATCAGAAAAAAATAAGGTTGGATTAGAATGAATTTTCAAAAATCAATAATAACACCTAGAGAAAGCATCCTGACATGAAGGAACATGAGAGTACAAAGGTGAGAACACTGGGGTTCTCGTCCTGCTCTGGACAAATAAGTCATTTAGTTTTTCCAAGTAGGCATCAATTTCATTGTCTGTAAAATTAAGAAAAGGAAAAAGAGTCTCTAACTGCTTCAGAAGTATTATATGTGAAAAAATGATAAATGGACATAAAACTGTAGTGCAAATGATTTTTTAAAAAGTATCTAATCAAGATGCTTCCATGTTTAAAACACTTCTATGTTTTCCCATTGCTCTGAAAATAAAATTGGACTCCTTACTACAGCCGACAAGAACTTAAATGATCTGGCCCCTGCTCACTGCCCCTGTGTGCCCTGTCTCCCACTTCTCCCTCTCCTAACAGCTAGACTACATTACCCTGCCATCCTTTCTTCCCAAGAATGTGCCCAAGAAGCTCTTTCCCACTGTCGGTGCATTTGCACTTAGTGTTTCCTTTGTTTCAAAAACTAAGCTTTTCCATTAACTCCCTGTACTCTTTTGGTTTCCGGTTCAAACTCCACCTCCTGAAAAGCTCTTCAGCGCCATGTCTACCTATCCTCCCCACCCACCTCGCACCTGCCCCTTGATCACACTCACTCCCTTTTACATGTATGTGCTTATTGTCTGTGCCCTCATCTGCCCTATTCATTAGCGTCCCAACCACCCAGAACAGGACAAATTTCCCAGCACTTCAGTAAGGTCACCGCTAAATATTTATTGAAAAATGAATGACCATGAGAACACAGCATTAATAAATATTATAACCATACTGTTTATTGCTTGTAATCAATGTGTCAAGAATTTTGTCATTCATAGTCAGTGTTTCTATTCTTTACAACGAAGCTACAAGTTAGGCATGACTATTTACCTGTAACTGATACTCAGGGAGGTTACAGAGTAAGGACACCCAGGTAGTTATTGGCAGAGATGGGATTTGAATTCAGGTCTACTGACTTCAAACAAGTCACTGTTCCACACTGTCTCTCTGACACTTCCTGTCACAATTAATGTATCTCTCCTTTAAACTCTAGTATCATTTTTGACACCACTTTATTCATCATGTTTTACAATATTAATTTGGGCAGATTATTTTCACTGCATATTATTTTCACTCCTGCAAATTTTACAGGGAATGTCTTCTGAATCTCAACCACTGTCTAACATACTACTTACCCACATTACTTAGCAAACATTTGCAGCTGGAAAAAATAACTGGAAGTACAGAATATATGAGCCAGGAGCATTACTATCTCTTTTACAAGAGAAGCATGCTTATTAAAATTTATTTTTCACAAGTTAACTCCTCTCTGGAAAGCAGCAGGAAGAAAGTTATGGATCCTAGCCCTGAACTTTTAATGAGGTAAAATTTAGTGTTCTGAAAATTTTTTTATTATCCCGTGGATAATTATGTTATTCTAGAACACCTGATTAAATCCATGGCACACAGAAACAAAATTGTTTCAGTTAAGCTTATTTTTTTCTTTTCATTTTTGTTTTCAAAATGTTGATAAATTACACAACTTTTCTATGAGTAGTAGGCCTGTTTCAGAGTGTGCTTTTATGAGACTATTTTTATCAACTATTTTGTCAACAGAGTTTTCAAGCCACTGCCGTAAAACCTCTCCTGCTGGCTAATAACCCACCCTGACTATGTAATTTAAGTAACTTTACTGCTCTAAACAAAGGGCGATCCTTGTGACTAGGATTTGCAAGTCACTTTCTGACAGCTCCACAGCACCTGACAATAGTTTCATGTTTCCTCCTCAACAACCCCTTTGCAGTTTATACACTAATACTACAGTCACTCTACGCTGATAACCTTCGCTACATAGACACTCCCCAAAATAATATTCTCTTTTCCTTTGTTTTAATATACCTTTTAAACACTTGTTAGTGAAAAATTAAGTGTTAGGATTTAAATTACAATCCTATAACACTTGTTATTCAATGGTATTAACATACCTTAAATAATCCTGTTAAAGGGGATAATTTCAAAATGATGATTTATAATGTTCAGGTGCATAATTTAGCAGTATTTATAAAGGGATGATAAAAATAATAATTAGGATATTATTTCTGCTTTTATCAAAAAATGTCAGCAGTTAGAAGATGAATAAGTTCTGGGGATCTAATGTACAGCATGGTGACGATAGTTAATATTGTATACTTGAAAGTTGTTAAAAAAGTAAATCTTAAATGTTCTCACCACACACACACACACACACACACACACACACACACACGGTGATGAATGAACTAATCTTATCATGGTAATCATTTTACAATATATACTTATACAAAATCATCACACTGTATACCTTAACTTTACATAATTTGTAGAGCAAACCATCACATTGCACACCTGAAACTTATATAATCTTATATGTCAGTTATATCTCAATAAAGTTGAAAACAAAGGAAATATCAGGCAAAGAAATATGATATAAATAAAACTTTTAAAGTGCCTTCTTGAATCGTCTCAGGAGTAATATGAATTAAAGCACAGTTTATTTATTTTTAAAATTAAAGAAGTATATGACATACATTTTAGGATTACATTGCAGGATAGGGGCACGATATTTTTTAAAATACTAGTATATCATTATTTCAAAGCATTTGGAAATCACTCTTCCTACAATTCTGGGAAATGTTAAAAAAAAGTATGCCGATAATTACAATGTTTAAAAATCTTTAGTTACATCTATAAAAAAGTGTGAGTGAGTTAGCAATGGCACAGAATTTCTCTTCTACACTGGCTGAAATGCCTTCACTGAGAACTGGAAGGCAAAGAAAGTTAAAGACAAGTACTTTAAGTCTTCAAATACTCAGAAACCTCCACGTATATACCACTATCTGTTGAGTCCAATAGAGACAAACATCATTTATTCACAGGTCCTCATCTTAATTCTGTAATCAGTTTCTGAAAATTAATCTGACATGAATTGTCTTATATTCTATAATGCCTAAAAATTTAGGGGTTATATCTTAAAAAAATAATATTTGAACAAAACTACATGTATGAGTACCCCACTCCCCAGAAGTACTAGAGGAATGCTTTAAGCACCAAATGGTTTGTTAGCGAATAGACAAGATCTTAAGTTCTTTATGCCTTTGAAAGCATATTTCTTTAATTTTAGTCCAGATCAGCATAATATGGCATCACTATATTTTGAAGACTTCTAAGAAAAAGACTAGATGACCATAAAGTCCATTTTCATACTCAAACCAATGTCATTCTGTAATTCTCTGAGGAAAGGTATAGCACTGTATTACTGATGGCATAATTAAAATGAAACAGTAATAGTAAAATGACATTTAGTTTCCTAAATTGAGGATTGTGTGCAAATGCCCTATTCTAAAGAGCTTGGTGGTTTATTTACTGAATTAATGTCAGTTTACTTATCTGAAGAAAAGAGAAATAAGTTTTATTCAAATTTGAAATATAGCTCATGAAATCTAGCTGTCAGATTGTAGCTTATTGTTAATACCTACCTTAAGATTTCTATAAAATACATTGATAAAGGCTAAAATAGTAAAGCCTTTAATGAAGTTTGCTTCTCAGCCACCAGAATTGATGGCGGTCTCAGGAAATGTCTGGTTTACTTGGCTTCTTTTGCTTTTACAGCTGAAGGAGGAAACATAAGAAGCCCCTCCATTTGTTTCAACTGGATAATGAGGAAGTACTCAATTTATTTTATGATAAGAAGTCTAGTGCTATTTGTTTTGTGGTACAGTCACTTGCTTCTTAATTGCTATGTTTTAAAACCTCCTGATATTCACAATGACACCAATTTAGCTACCTGATTTATGAGGTCTTCATGATTAAGGAGCTCAAGCATCCAGGGCTATAACTTGCAAATATCCAGGAGATGGTCTAAATCTCATGCACAGGATGTGCAAATGCCTATGTAATCTTAATCTGATTCCAGACCTACCAGCAACCGACCTTCTTTCTCTTGTGCTGGGAACAACTGGTTCAGCACAGAAAAGTGCCAAACAGACTGTTCCTTGGCCTGGGTCTATGTCCCACCCGAAAGGAAAATCAATTTCTTCTAAAAAACAGTAAAAGTCTAATGACTTCAGATATCTTTTTATGTAATTTCTCATTAACTGGAGTACTACTGTGGTCTTATCAAACACATGGAAAATTAGTCAAATAAGATATTATAAAAAAGTTTTTGCAGTGATAAGCCACAGATTAGTCACGAATTGTACATAATATCACTTATAAATCAAAATTATTGTTACTGTATTTTAAACAGTCCTGGATATAGATTATTAATATATCTATAGAGATATATAGATATATTTAGATATTTATTCAATTTATAATTTATTCAATTATAGATATGTTCAAACAGATATGTAATTAAATTCTTTTTAAGAGAATCAAGTTAATAGCAAGTAATGAGAAATTCAAATATATATATGTGCATAAATCCACACATATATTATCTTTGAGAGAATCAAATTAGGAGCAATTAACAACAAAGGAAATAATAATGCACTTTTGATCAACAAGTCAAAACACAGTAATGTTTATTACATGAATTACACAAATATTTCATACTCCTGTCAAATGATACAGCAAGTAAACACTTCCATGTAAGAGCATGTCATATGTGTCATACCTTTTCATGGACTTTCTGGCCAGGTTCCATCCCTTCAAGATGTTCTGACTCTGTGGATCCCTCACTTGATGCCATTTTTCTTTGTATATGAACATTTTGTTCACGCAAGGCAACAATCTGCAAAATAAAAGCACTATGCCTTTAAAATCTAAAATAGAGCATGAAGTATAAGAAAACTGAGTTTACTTGAATGTGGCTAAGAACAAATGAATACAAATAATCAGAAAATTAACATTAAATTTTACTCATATTATTAGTTCAAAAATATTTCTAAGATTTAGGCTAGCATTTCGAATAATATTTATATTTATAGGAATGTGAAATTAAGAAAATATTTTCTAGTTGGAAAATGTATCTATCTAGCTTGAGATGTTTTTAAATCAGTGGCATGATCCATGTGTTATTAATTCAGAAATTACTTTTTAATTTAACTTATGAAATGTAATAAAATTTGTATTAGTCTGAATTTTTAAAGTATGAAAGAAAGATAAATCAGAAAATTGACGACTAAAAACTAATTATGAGCACATTCATCTTCCCTAAGAGACAGCACATCTGCAATTTTAAAACAAGCAAATAAAGAAGCTAGACTTAAACAATTTGTGCTATCATGAGCACTTAGAATTAAATTGGTCTCATTGTCATTATTTTAACGGCCGTTACTTTAGTACTTCTAGTCCAAATATAGTTAATTTACAGAAAAAAAATTCTCAGAAGGCAATTAATTCTTGCAAAATTTTAGCTCAGATTTATACACATGATACTTTGAACTAAGAAACAAGATTCTTAGATAGTTGTAGTTTAAGTGATCTTAATAATATACAGAGTGGAAAATCACATTCTAGCATTTTAAAAATATATTTGCTATTTATACATATTATTTTGAAAATATTTTACATTACATTAAATACCATAAATTATTTGTTTCTTGGCAAGTTTTATTATAGGACCAACTCAGATATTGAGTCAGTATTGATTCTAGGGGAAATCAATGTCCATGGTATTTAGCACATATTAAGCATATGTTTAATATGATTCAATATTTATTGAATTTTATATTTATATTGAATATTTGTATTAAATAAATATTGAATCATATTAAAATTATATGTTGAAATTATGAGACCAACATGTCACACAGACAAAGAATTATCAAGTAAACAAAAGACATCGAGAGATTGGGTATGTGTCCTGCTGCCTGCCATTGCTGCCCACATGCCAATGATATATTCATGAGAAAAAGTGATTTTGCATATGACCTCCAGCAATTCAACACATAACTTATCATTTCTTAAGGGCATATCACTACATAATGAAGAACAACTCTGTAAAAGCTCTTCTCTCCTGTAGTACTGCAATCCCCAAATAATTGGTTCCCTTACTCCCATTCTTGCCCATCTACAATCTATCATCCACAAAGCAGCCAGATTCATCTTTTAAACTTAAGTTGTATTGTGTCACTCTTCAGCTTTCCAAAGAACCTCTCTGTTTTCCCAAATTGTTTAGCATAATTTTAAACTTCTTAACAAGGTCTATAACACCCTACATGATCCCTTCCGCCACAATGGCCTCCTTTCTGTCCCTCAAACAGACCTGGCACTTTCTCACCAGAACTGAGGAACTTGTGATCTTCCTGCCTGAAGGATTCTTCCCCAGCTCAGACTACAGCTGACGCAATCTCAGCTTTCAAAAGTCAGCTGAAAAACCTACTTCTCAGAGAAAGTATACCTAGCCATTACACTTTTTACAATATATCTGTGTTTATTTTGGTGTGTATCTTACCCATTAAAATCTAATATTTTACTCCTTTATTTACTTACTCACTTTGCTTGTTTATTTAGCTAGCAGAAGTCCTAATGATATCTCATGGGAAAATAATTTTCAAAGGAATACATTATTGAAAACAACATTTTCATATGAAGCAGCACATCACATTAGTATGTGCAGGGATTCAATATAAATGTTAAATTAAATAATAAATGGATATAGAAAAACAAAGAATGCAAACCTAATTCATTCAGAAATAACAAAAGATAAAGATTTACTGTGTTTGAGAATCATCAGACATTCCTCTCATGTTAGTTAGTGTAGAAATGAATTACATCAAAGGAAAAACAAGAATGAAATAGTCCCTGGATATATCATTTTCATATTACATTCTTAACATCTTTCTCTTGCATAAAGCAATAACATTATATTATAATCAATACATAATAAAACTTTATTGTGAATTTTTAAATTAAAGTATTGTATGCTGACATGTCACTAAGATAACATCCATGACTTAAATATGTTAAGACAACAGTAACAATAAATTTTAAAATTCTATGCTTTTTCTTCCACTATTGAATTAGAAGTGAAGAGAGACCTTTTTGAAAAATATTTAAACATCAAACTTAACTCTTAGTTTACAGAATAACTTCAATTTGTTTAGTAGTTCAGATAAACATCAAATACACCCTGGTGCCTAAAATAAAGCAGGCCATCTATAAAGATTTACTGAATGACTCAGTGAAATGATAAATTAATGACCTTAATTAGAAAAGTCAAAACACCAAATTCACATGGAAAACCTTATGCAAATATGGTTGTGCCACTATATTAAAAAATTACAAACTTCCAGTTTTTCATAAAATATATACATGACAATTAATTCCAAGAAAGACAAACTTTTCAACCACTAACATGCAAACTCTACTTTTTCTAAGAAATCAATCCTGAAAATTAGATTTTTGAAACTGGAGAATTGATGCAGGATCCTCTACATTCTCTATCATTCTAATATGATTATATTCTGTTCTATTTTTGCTCAATAACAAATTATCCTGGGTAGTTATGAAAGCAAAGCTTCAGCATCTGATTTTATTGTAGGTGTTAATAAGCTTGATTCTTCTTCCTTTCACACTGGGGAAAGTGAGAGGTTCTCTCCTGTGAATACAACTTTGGGGGTTGTATTTGGTCTGCTCTTCTGTGTGTTCAAAAGGGCAGAGAAGGTCACCTAGAAATCTGTAGCTGAAGGTTAGCACAGGCCTCTTTAGGAAATTCTCCCAGCTGGCTTGACAAAGGAATGCAGTAGGTGGCTTCAGAAGTGGTTTACAAATATAGCAAGCAGAATGAAAGTGGCAGATAGCCTTAAAACATTCTCTGGGCTCTACTGACAGAAAAAGCTGTTAGAGGGAGGGCTCAAGTGACTTGTCTAGAATAGTTAAGTAGGACTGGATCCCTCACTGTTAAACAGCATGACCTATTACAAATAGGATGGCGTGGTGGTTAGGACAAATCACTTCTGGGGAGTCTCTGTTGCTTACTCAGTTGTGACATAAATGCAACAATGCACTGGAAACCCACTATGTGCCAAGAACTGTGTTGAACTATTTTAATCTGCAAATTAGGTCTTACGATCCACATTTAACAAGTGATTAAACTGAGATAAAGAGAATTTAATGAGAACTAAGGAATCAAATAAAAGTCCTTATCTTTATACTTTTTACTATGTCACATTGTCTCACATGGCTTTGCATTTGGGCTCTATTAAGTCAGGGGAAGTTAATGGTGGGTGAGGACAGGAAGGAAGCATTTCCTTTCCAAGCACTGCTATCCTCCCACCTTGGAATCCTTTGTAGTTCATTGAAGTATGGACCCCTCCCTGGACAGATTCACATATAGGCAGAATTTTGCATGCATTTCCACACATACCAATCCACTGAGGCCCATGGAACACTGGTCAAGAGAAACTTTCTACAGTCATTTTAACTGATCAGCCATGATTTGTCAAGTGTTTGTTGACATTTGTTTTAAAATGCCCAGAATTCATTCATATTCCTTTTGGTGACAACATCTTACATTTTCACTGGGGAATTTTCCTTCCCCACTCTAATCTTAGAGAGACTGTCAATCAGGGGGCCAGACTCATGGTCAATGGGTGGGCACATGATCTAAGCCAGGGCAATTAGAAAATTCCTTGAGAGAAATTTCTGGCAGAGATATGGGGGAAGAGTCTCCTTTCTACTATGGAATGTAAGCTGGTGGGATATGATCAGAGTTCTGTTTGCCATCAGTTCCTCCTTATACAGAAGCAGGTAGAAAAGCTGGAGCCCTGATGAATTACTTCTGCTGCTGATTTTAGCCATAAATCAACTCTATTCCTGGCATTTCAGTAAAATGAGCCCCAAATTTCCCCTCTGTGCTCAAACTTGTTTGGATTTGTTTTCTGTCATTTGCAACTAAAAGTGTCTTTGCACTTATTTGAGAGGTGGAAACGTGCCCTTCTGGCCAACCCGAGCCAGGTACTTCCCAGACACCTCTCCTGCTCCTGGAGGTCCACATGTTACAGAGATTTGGGGTGTGTTTATTTTAAAAAAGACCCATGCAACCCATGGGGGTGGGGGGGAATTTGGGGATCAAAGGTTAACAAGTTCACATCTGATATTACTCAGCCATAAAAGAAGAATGAAATAATGCCATTTGCAGCAACATGGATGGACCTAGAGATTGTCATACTGAGTGAAGTTAGTCAGACAAAGAGAAATATCGTATGATATCACTTATATAAGGACTCTAAAAAGAAATGATACAAATGAATGTATTTACAAAACAGAAAGGGATTCACAGATTTAGAGACCGAACTTATGGTTGCCAGGGGTGGGGGGGTGCAGGGTGGAAGGAATAGTTAGGGAGTCTGGGATGGATATGTACACACTACTATACTTAAAAAGGATAACCAAAAGAACCTACTGTACAGCACAGGGAACTCTGCTGAATGTTATGCGGCAGCCTGGATGGGAGGGGAGTCTGGGGGAGAAAGGATACATGTATATATATGGCTGAGTCGCTTGGCTGTGCGCCTGAAACTATCACAACATTGCTTATCGGCTATACTCCAATACAAGGTAAAAAGTTAAAAAAAATTTTTTTTTTAATCTGGGGCAAAAAAAAAAAAAAAAAAAAAAAAAGTTCTTTAGAAAAAAAGAATACATGAGGGTGTACCGGTACTCATCCAGGCTAGTCAAGGTGACAAGGAGGAGGAAAAAAAGAAAAGGGAAGATGATGAAAGAATGACAGGGGACTCAAAAAGCTAACATACTTCAGCTAAAACTCTGGCATCTGTGTGACTCTTG